TATTTGCAAGAAAAGTTGTAGAAAACTAAATGAATAAACCTTGCAGTTATAAGTTATCAATAACTAGTCTCTATATGTACTTATATTTTGATTAACATTCTAAATGGATTATAATGTAATTTCCAAAAGAAAAATATTAAAAAAACTTCAGATTAGTATTCCGTTAAAAGTAAAACATAAAAAAAAAACATCACAATGCACTTTAAGAGGTTTAAAAATATTTGAAAAAGTTGGGGACTAAAAAAAGAACATTACTGAATAGTTATACTTTGACATAATTTCAACTTATGCAGTATTTTCTTTTTATTTAAATAAATGTAAAAATGATTATAAAAACAAATGATACATTACTTTTAAAATACTTTCGTTTGATAGATTCAACTGAATTAACTTTATAACTTTTGTTCGTTAATTATATGATAAATAACATACTCACCCAAATTCATTTTCAATACAGAGAGTGAATAAAAATATTGTTAAGCACTAATTAAAACTTGTAAAAAGTATTTGTTTAGATGCCGCACAATTTCCAGTAAAAGCGAATCTTGAATTTATGACATTCCGTTCCACAAAAATAAACAATATTTTGCTGTTGCAGCATCTGTCAAAACAAAGTTGTGACATCACTTAATGCATTATATAAACAGTTTAAATTTCTCTGGAACGAGTTGTTCTCTCTCTCTCTCTCTCTGTCTAACGACGTAGCCTTAGAGAGAGAGAACATATAAAGAGAAGATTAACGCTGTGATATAAGTAAATAATATTCGTAGTACCATTACACATTCGTTGTACCAATTTTACCCGGCAATTTACCGGCTAGGGCGTCGCAGCGTCAGGCCTCAGCTTGCAGTTAACGAAGAGGAAGAGATCCTCCTCGCACTACGCCGTCATGGCGCGTATCATGGCCGGTAGCGACAAATGTTTCTCCGCGGTCGCGTCCTTTTGCGAATATGTAATGTAGCAGAAGGCGGCGGCGGAAAGGGCCCGGCAGGACGATCTCAGCAGCTCTGAGTGTGTATGGACGAGACAGGTTTTTTCACCCATATGCTATAGTGACCAGCCTCAATGAAGCGACGCCTGCGTGTTCCGGTATGTATTGTGATCCTCGGGTAGCGGTTCCGCCAAATCTGTGTACCTATAGATATAAAACAACCGATTTAAAACGTTTTAAATAAAATGTAACCTGACGTCATGTTTCGTTTTAATTAGTTTATAAAAAATCAATAGAAAGTACCTACCTACATTACCTACTACACGAAAACTTAAGTATGTAGGTATATCTACCTATACTTATTAACACAATGCCGTCCGTTTTACTTGCGCATGAAAGGACAATGTTATGTCTTCAAGGCCGTGTGAGTTTAGTTTTAAACCGAATCAAACTGATTATTTACATCATTTGAAAACAATGAAAAAAAATGATTATTTACTAACACAAAGTTTTTAAGTTATCAATAGAGTTTTTATAACTTAGGTAGGTGATACCTACGCTTGGTCGAACGCACCAATTAGAACTAAACCCAAGTATATCAATATCAGTACATCAAACATATAAAAAAACTTCACACAGTTTATAGGTACTCCGTCATATCCCTGCCTCGGTAAAATCAAGAAAATGTAGTTATAATTAAGAAAAACATAGTCATCAACACCAACCGTTTTAAATCGAAAAAATGGTTTATTTTGGTTTTCAACGGTTTTTTTCTTCGTTTTAAACGGATTGGTTTAATTGGTTTTAAACCGGCCTTACATGTAGACGTGTACCCGATGAGGCCTCGTGTGTCTGTGTTACTGTACGGACCCTCTTACCATGAATTTGTCAATTTTCTAATAAATAGAAAAAATTAAAAAAAAGCCGTGTGGTGTCAATGGACACCCGATAGGAACGAAGTTGTGACGATCGAGTAAAACTGATTTGACACGATTTTAATTACAACGCCATCTATGAAAGCGGCTATTACCTACATATTAAAAACAATTAAAACAATTTATACATTGGTAAAATCTCCTTGCGAAATGATTTCCTATCTATTCGATAGATGGCGCTGAATGTCTGACAAGATGACACGAAAATAAAGAGCAAAAAGCCAACATCACGTGGTATTCCCAGGCGGTCACCCATCCAAGTACTAACCACGCTCGATGTTGCTTAACTTCGGTGATCGGACGAGAACCGGTGTATTCAACATGGTATGGACGTTGGCGAACGTTAAAGCAATTTAATCTACGGTATCCACAGTTAGACGTCAATTTATATTAAAAGTGTCGTGACAAATTTTCGTACGATTTTTTTCCGTCTAGCCCCCTTTCACAACGCTCGATAAGGAACTTCGTTCCAATATGTACAGGGACTGTTAACTTGTTAGGTATTTTAATTAGCCTTTCCATGATAGAGTTCTGAAATACAGCAATAAATTAAACAAATACAACTAATACGAATCCTGTTACAGATATCCGTGTGAAACGTTACTTTTTGTTACAGTTTCTAAAAAGAAAAATCGAACCTGTTTTAATTTAGAGAAATTAGTCACACCATGTACCTTGTTAGAAATGGTTTGACTAATTTGTTCGGCGGTGCAGAGAGACAGACTGCAGAACATTTAAGTACAAAATGCAGAAAATGTCATCATGTACATAGTGCTAAACGATATGTTGTTGTATGATGTGCTTATGTAAACAAAAAAATTGTCATCATGTAAAATTATTCTTTACATCAACAGTTTTTAATAGTCCACTGCTGGACATGAGCCTCTCCTTAGAAAGGTGGTTTGACATGGCGAGCATTGACAAGTGTCGTCGTCGATCGGTACTAGTGTCAGTTTTTGAACACAGATCAAAGGAAGTTCACATTAGTGCGTGCTTGTTCCCTACTGCTCAAATTAATTTTACAAAAATTGTAGTTGAGCAGTCGGGAATCTACATTAAGTCTCAATACTTTACTGATTGTGCAGTTTAGTTGAGCAGGAGGGCTAGAGATTTATTTTTTAGTTTAGTGCCCGCACACTCGCAAGCGTGTAAATGGCATCCAAGCGTTTATAAAGACTTACAGCATATGAATGTCTGCCAAGCGTACCGCGTAGGTACCGCGTGACAGTTCTGACAGATTGAAGAATAAGGACAGGGTCAAAGAGATCGATTGCTGCGATATCCGATTCTTAAGCGATATCAATTTCATTTCTGTGTGTTTACAAAACGATTACAATTTTACAGATTTATTTATTTTATTGTATAATTCCGTATAATATTATATCTTAAGTTATCCTAGGAAAATCTATATAAGTAATGTGGACTGGTTTGCCAGTTAATATGCCCATTGTTGACGATCATATGTTCCTGAAACTAGACCTTGTGTTATTTATTTGTCTTATCTTGTCTTGAAAGTTGCTGTTGATATTAGTCCGAACAATTCCTCAGAGCACTCCATGATATATACGATAGAAAATGCAGAACGAAGCTATATCTCGTATATATATCTCGAAGCTATAGCTATATACGTAACGCCAAGGGATCGAGCCGGTCGGAAATCTTTTAGCTATCGACGATTCGAGTCGCTCTTCCATGGATACGGTCCAGAGTGAGAAGCTGGTACTGAGGTGCCCCTTCATAGAGATGAGAACAGTATTCCATAAGTAGCTAAACATGCGCCTTAATGATTTGGAGGCAATGGGCTGGAGTGAAATACTGCCTCGATCTGTTCAGTACATCGAGCTTTTTCGAGACTTTACCCTCTAAATGACTATGAAACTGGACTTCGCTCGGTATAATTCCGATACTGGCTCAGGCAATTAGGCAGGTGCCCTCGAACCGAGGCAGTATGGTATCTTTTTTGCGGTGAACACGCAAACCTCTGTCTTTTTTTGATTAAAATGACTAGATTTAGTCGACCCCAATTTGTAATCTCCGCTAAGGAAGTTACAATTTCAGACACAAGTTTCGACCCTCGATGATGTTTTCCCGAGAAATATTGGGATGGCCGGTATATAAGGTATCGCCCGTGCTATCATCTACACAGCAATGCATGCTACTAGTTCGCAACATATCATTGATATGCAGAGGAAACAGTACCAATTTAAAAAATACGTTATGATATGGATGAGATTATAAAACATGATGTGGAATTTTAGATATGCTGAAAAATAAAAATAATAAAACAGATTGAAATAAACATTTATTTAACATAGGAACATAATCCTAACAATTATCAATTTGTGGAGTTTACTTCTTAAATATCGGTTTTTATGTCAGTATCAAATTTTACAAAACTGCTATTAGACAAATAATAAATAATTTTATAATAATAACATTTTTTATATGAAATAATAACAGCAGTCTTGTTGTAAAGTTTGATATTGGCAATACAAATGCTAAACTATAAGATATTTAAAAAAATACTATAATTTATTAATCACTGCACCAGGCACTGACTGACGATTAAACCAACAAAATGTAGACGAGTTTTACAGAATTCATAACAATCGATAGTATCGGTCCAATCAATAGTTTTTAAACTATCGATAGTAAACTCGTCATGGACGAAAACAGTATCGACAGTATCCGTACCGAAATGACTAGGCGTAATACTATCGATATTATTGCAAGTCACCAACATTAACACATTTTGTGCTATCGGTACTATCGATACTATCAAAATACATTTCGATTTGCCCAATATTACCGCTATATCGATAGACAATATCGACAGTCTATCGGTAGCAGCAGATCGATTGGCATCACTAGTTTGTTGTTTGCTCTTTGGACATAAGGACATAACGAGTTATGAGTTATGATATGGCAATGTTATTTTTGTTATCACATTGATAATTTTGCGTCATTTAAATATTTTGATAAAACCAATTTTTTATGTACGATAAGTTAAGCATATTATAAGAATTTGAAATTTGCCCGATTGCCCGTCCAGAGTTCAGTTCCGTCTAGTTCTCTGCAAGTGATTGTAGTGTTTTTTTATCTTAATATTTTTACGAAAGTAAATTTAAAAGAAAATGGATGTGACTGTACGAAAGCAACGTGTTACCGATGAGGAATTGATGGAGTTAATACCTGATTTACCTGAAGGTCCATTGGATAATTACAGGAAACAGGCATCTTTTAATTGGCGCCGAATGAAACTTGCATATGATAGTGTTGACACAATTAAATTTAAAGTAAGTTTTTTTTATATTCGTACTGTGGTGGGAAACTTTTGTGGAATACTCTCTAGAAATAATACACATGTGTTCTAATTTTAAAAATATAAAAAGTTACTAAGTCTTGTTAAAGCCGGTTTTACTGTAAAGAAATGCCTGCATTTTATTACAAAATAAAAATGGCATGTCGCACAAACCTTAGAGTACATGATTTCGTTCATGAACTCTGAATATTCTAGGCTCCAGACAAATAATTTCTGATAACTTAACTGAAAAGCTAATCATTTTGCACATAATCGAAGAAAGTAGTATGGGACTCCTTGTAGACTAGACTTCTTTTTTTTCATACATGAACCAGATTATATTAACTTGGCATTCCTCTCACAGAAAAGTCATGTTTTGTGGAAATTAAAGTCAGTTTTAGGTATATTAAAGTTCAGTTCTTTGAATGTATGGCTTGCAACAAAAGTCCAGAAGCATATACTGCTTACAAAACACATAAGATCTGAAATGACAAATAATTCATAGGATGGGTATATACATAATCAATCTGGTACCTGCGACTTTTTTTGAGTGGAATTTGAAAAGCTCTGCCTTAGTGGGTTTAATTCCAAAATTTTATAGGGTTTTTCTGGAAGGAAAAAAGCCTAAGTTACTCCTTACATAGACAGCTACCTAGTTGTAAAATATTTTCAAAATCAGTCCAGCTGTTTAGAATACTATCCGAACGAAAAGACAAACAAAAATTTTTTAAACTAAGCTTAGAGACCCAACTCTCTTAACAATGTCCAACCTGATTCTGGATAAGAAGGGGGAATTCCTTGAAAATGAAAATCAATTTTCATTCAAGTTGTCTGTCTGTCTGTCTAGATATAAAAATGATCATGATCCGTATCCCCATTCACATTAAAAGTTTTTCAGTTTCCGCTGGTTTGTGACATAAAGCTGGAATTTTCTTATGAACCTCTGTTGTCAATTCTAAAAACATTGCAGATAGCCCAGAACAAAATTATTAAAATGCTCTTCCACTACAACTATCTAACTTCTACAAAAAAATATACAAAAATAACACAATTGATGACCTTAGCTCAGATATATTAATACAATACATGTGAAAAATCTTAGACAAAAATATACATACTAAGCTAACATTTACAAATAAAGGAAACGCTCAAAAAAGAATAAAAAGACTAATTAATGTTTAAAGAATAATTTATGTTTAAGGCACCCACGAACCAACTACGGAAAGAAAAATATTAATTAAGGGCCCAACTATATAATAAATTACCAAATAACATGAAAGAAATACAATCAATCAACTTATTTAAAAAAAAAAACCTTAAGTTCCACATCTTTAAAGAGTTCTCTAGTTTTTAGCATCGCAATTGTAATTATGCAATACACGCTTGCTGTCAGACACCGATACATAATGTGACCCGACACCTTTATATTTTCTTCTTAATGTACCCACATTTTAATTTCAATTATGTGATTTAGTACAATGGTTGGTGACACTGTCAAATGCGCTCATAGATTATAAGTTTACTATTAACTTTATAATTTGTGTATCTCAATATAAGTGAATTGTATTATTTTGAGTAATAAATATATCTTAAACCAGAAATTATGTGCTAGGAAAAGATTTTGTCTTTTCGTTGGAGAAATTGTCCCTTTGTATCTTTCTTTCTGTACCACCGACAATGTGTAAGCAACATTTCATAATAAATGGTTCAGTGGTTAAGGCATGAAAGTGTAACAACTTTCGCTTTGCCTTGTTTATGTGCTAGCATCTAACAAGACCTATAATGTTCTACTGTACTATTTAATACAAACAAATTGCAATAATACCCAATACTAACTTTTAAACTATAGCATTCCCTGATATATGATTATGTTTAATTCTGGATTTAATTATGGAATTCACACGCTCACCATAGGTATTAAGTACATATCTTCGATCAGGTTGCAATGGCCGTGCTCAGGCTTATTTTAATACCCTATAGTACCGTATAATTGGCAAATGAACGTAAAAATAATAATTGTTCTTAACACTTTCAACTTAAGATATAGCAAATTAAATAGATCAGGGAGCGACATAAGTCAGGGGCGATTCCAACTTTAATTCTGGCAGGGTTACTCTTTATGTAGACAGGACTTACGACAAACTCCAAGTTGATTGGAGAAAACATTTGAAATCGTAAACAATCTAGATAACAATGACTCCTAACGCTGGATCCGCCCTTGGCTTAGGTATATGCCCGTGTGCTGCTGGACGAGGCGGGCAAATTGTTTGAGAGGGTTCTTTCTGCCCGCATCGTCCGGCACCTCTGCGAGGTGGGCCCCGATCTGTCGGACGCCCAATTTGGTTTTCGGGCGGGGCGTTCGACGGTCGACGCCGTGTTGCGCCTGAGGGCCGTGACCGAAGAGGCCGTGAGCTGTGGCGGCGTGCTGTTGGCGATGTCATTAGACATCGCCAACGCATTCAATAGTCTGCCATTCAGCTGCATCAGGGAAGCACTCCACTATCATGGGGTGCCAAAGTACCTGAGGCGGCTGGTGGCAGGCTATTTAGAGGAGCGTACCGTCGTGTACGAGGACCGAGAAGGTAATCTGAGGTGTCGGCCCATGTCGTGCGGTGTTCCACAGGGGTCTGTTCTTGGACCCCTCTTGTGGAACATAGGGTACGACTGGGCCCTTCGCGCCGATTTCCCCCCCGGGCTGGGTGTAATCTGTTACGCAGACGATACCCTCGTGACAGCCCGGGGGGCAAACTTCCAAGAGGCGGCGCGCCTGGCCACAGGGGGAGTCTCCCTGGTGGTCGGGCGCATTGAGGCGCTGGGCTTACGGGTGGCCCTAGATAAGACGGAGGCCCTGTTATTTCATGGGCCCCGTCGTGGTCCACCCCCTGGCGCCTCAATAGTGGTCAACTCGGTCCTTGTACCGGTTCGGGCCCAGATGAAATATCTGGGCCTGATCCTCGACGGGAGGTGGCTCTTCGACGAGCACTTCCGACAGCTTGCTCCAAAGCTGGTCGGCGCTGCGTCTGCCCTAGGGCGACTTTTGCCCAATATGGGTGGACCCAGCGTCGCGACAAGACGGCTGTACACGGGGGTTGTCCGGTCAATGGCACTGTACGGTGCACCGGTGTGGGCGGCGGCTCTGACCGCCCAGAATAGGGTACGCCTCTGGCGCCCTCAGAGGGTAATGGCGGTCAGAGCCATACGCGGTTACCGCACCGTTTCGACGGAGGTGGCGTGCGCGTTGGCCGGAACTCCCCCGTGGGATTTGGAGGCGGAAGTGCTCGCCGAAGTTTATCGGCGAGTGGCTGACTACCGGGCGGAGAGCGGATTTCGCCCTCCGCCCGAGGATGTGCGCGAGTGGCGCGAAGCCGCTCGCCGAGCCACGATGGCTCGTTGGTCGTTCCGGCTGGAGACTCCACGCGCTGGCTTCGCCGCCGTGGAGGCTCTCCAGCCGGTCATCGCCGAGTGGGCAGGGCGGCAGCACGGGACCCTTTCCTTCCGGCTGACGCAGGTGCTTTCCGGGCACGGTTGCTTCGGTAAGTACCTGCACACGGTCGCTAGGAGGGAACTGAGTCCCGCCTGCCACCACTGCGACTGCAGTGAGGACTCGGCCCAGCACACGCTGGCGGTCTGCCCCGCATGGGCGGCGCAGCGCCGGGCCCTCACTGCAGTCATCGGAGTGGATCTCTCGCTACCGGCCGTAGTACGCTCCATGGCCGGTAGCGACAGTTGTTTTACCGCGGTCGCAACCTTCTGCGAGGTAGTAATCTCGCGGAAGGAGGCGGCGGAGAGGGCCCGGGAGGACGACCTCCACTCGGACCCGATCCGCCGCCGGCGAACCGGGCGGCGGAGGCCCGCCTACCACAGCCTCATGCCGCCCTGAGTGTGGCCGCGGGTGGACGGGGTGGGTTTCCCCTCCACCCGCATTAGTTGGCCAGCCGCGAGGGGGCGGCGTCCGCGTGTGCCGGACGTCGCCTAAAGAGAGGAACATCTACATCGAGACGGAGCCCGCACCAGGAGCGGGCTGGCGCTAGGAGGGGTCCGGATGTCTTAACAACAGCTGTTCCCGGATCCCTCCTGTTACAGGCGCAGAGTGGCACACCGTGTGGTTTTAGTCGGTCCGAGTCCGACACACCACCCCGCCGCAAACCCCGGAGGGGTGACGGTCCGAGGGGATTTCCACACGTTAAAAAAAAAAAAAAAAAAAAAAATGGTATATGCCCGTGTCCCTGCAGATCGGATAGAAAATCCAAATAAAAGTATTTTCATTCCGAATTTATTACGGAAAGAGCTAATGCGCAAGTGAAATCGCGAGGCGCAGTAAAACTGGTTCAATCAACTGCAAGACTAATACCAGAGGGTCATGTGCGAGCTTATTTCACGTCTACTCCATCGTCACAGTGAGCGCATTCGGCGCCACGATTGGCCGCATTGAAATCTCCCCCTTCCTAAGGAGAGGCCTATGTCCAGCAGTGGACTAGTAAAGGCTGTTGATGATGATGATGATGAAATCTCCACCAATCGCAACGCTATACGCGCTCGCCGTCGAGAGCGAGTCGATGGGAAATAAACTTGCACTCGGCCCTCTGTTCGTCACTTGCAACATCGATCTATGAATTAAATTCATAATACCAATCTTGATCATATGGATCAGTGAGAATTTTATGATAAACAAATTAAAATAGCTTACAACGTGATCTTTGCATCTCTGATCTAATAGTGCCTTCTGCTTTCTTTCCGTCTCTCCTTGACTCACTTTATTCTTATATTAATTTTCATTTTAGGAACAAGCATCTGTCCAAAATGTAGAAATGCAGAAACAGTAAATGAACTTTAAACTTTGACTTTGGCTCGAGCCACCTTCGGCCTAGCCGATTTTTAATGGTATTAGTATTTATTAGATATAATGATTATTTAATATTGTATTTACAGTATTTAACCAGTTGTTTATGTCGCTAAATAACTTATGACAATAATTATAGTAATGGTAAAAAAAAAAAAAAATTATGTTCAACAACTTCTGTAGTTGTAAATTTTATTATCGCTCTTATTGCTTTGAAAGTTACTACCAATATTTATTTTATTCCATTTCTACTATATAAAACATGTTATAGTCTTACACAGTATGGCATCAAAATCTCTCTAACCTAGAATGTGATTGTTTTAGAATGAAATGTGGAACTTCATGGAAAATCACCCGCTGTTTAAACACACAGAAGCCACCCGGGTCCTGGATGATGAGAGGCATATTACAACAAAGAGGATGTACACCATCTTCAACGAGAACTTTTTGCCATATGAAAAGGTATTTACAGTTTAAGGTATTTAAAGGATTTACAGTTTACAAAAATTACAATATAAAGTAGTAGTAGAAGGCTCTCTCACTCGACTCACTGTTCTGCTCCTAAGGGTCATACCATGATGTTACATAGCTTGTAGCATAGGTTCAGGTCCGCGAATTGCGGGTTCCCACACGGGGCGGGGGTCGTCTACTCGTCTGTAGATGACCCGAGGTATGTCGGGGCACCAGGGCCTTCCTTTCTAGGGTATACCTGGTTCCCCGGCTATTAGTACCCGGCGAAGGCGTGCGGTTTTAGTCGGTTCGAGTCCGACATGCCACCGACAGGTGGTATCCGAGGGGATTTCCGCACGGAAAAAAAAAAAAAAAAAAAAAAAAAAAAAAAAAAAGGTCCGTGAATTGCACTGTAGGTGTCATTATATTAGCACTGGCTTAATGTTGTTAATGTCTTTTACTTTGGGAGGTTCTTGAAATTTCCTTTAATGTGTTGTCTTTTTTTTCACCATTACAATTTCTAATTATTTGTTTACACACTTGAAAATTGGCTACCTAGGCTTCTTTTGTTCTAGCGAATACTGATTAATTTAAATGTATAAAATCTGAAAATAAGTGATTAAATTATTCATTTACCTATGAAACGTGATTCCTAGAAGTACGGTTTTTACAGCATTTCACTAGCCGTATTTCACTAGCGTGATGGCCTATGAGTGACACAGTTTTTTGTTAGCGAGACTCTGTCCGACTTTTTTTATACGTCGATGCTATTACCATATGAATGTTGTATTGAAGTATTTTAAAAACGCGCAAGCCTTACAGTAGCATATGACGTGTAACATTCAACATCCTGTTTAAAAAGTTATTGATAAAGGTTGTATCGCAGAAGGCAAAAATAACCATGCGATAAATCACTACTGGGATCTGGTCATAGACAATGATTAATGCCATAAAAATGTTGAGCTTTTTATCAAAAACTACGACTTTTTTAAGCTATTGCATATTAAGCTATTGCATAGTTTCTATCGCGGGCCTTGAGCTTGGAGACCGAATCCAGAAATTCCGTAACGAAAATAACCTAACACACCCCACGTGATACTTTTAGTTTTGCCATCTATCGATGAATAGCAGAACTTTTAATGACTTTTTGAAATATCACGCTTGTCTCTTTAGTTCAGCAACTCGCCTCTAGGTGGCATTGGTTGTATCGGCGTTACTGCGCATGCGTAATCCCCCTCTTTACCCCGCAATCTAATTAATATCAAAGAAAAAAAACAAAGGAAAAAAAATACTGCATAAATAAACTAAATAAATAATTATAATTGCATAAGTTGAAAAATGCTATGCAATAGCTTTACCGCGGCAGTCCCCGAGTGCCACACGTCTTTTTTTTAGATTTAGACCTTAGTCTGGGACTAGCGTAATCATAAGTCGTCATTTGTACATTAGTCACAGGGTGTGATTATATGACTTATAAATCACTGATGAACAGATGACTTATTTAATTCCATCCCTACTACCTGCTGTCAGCTATGAAAGACCTAAATAAATACATAAATCTAATCTGTAATCCGACCGCCAACTAACCTCTGATTCCTACGAAAATGATGTTTTTGTAAATACACGTTCGTCCGGTCCATTAATACAGCGTTAAGTTACACGAGTAACTTAAAACTAATAAATAAATAAATCTTTACGAACTTTTCGTAAACTAGGTTATATTTTCGTTGAAGTATGTACTAAAAAATCTGTAGGTAAGTTAAAATGATCTTCACAACATTATAAAGAGGCGCCAAAACGCGCCAAAATTATAGTGGTTTTTGTAAATACACGTGTGACGCGAGCGTTGGCAAAGAGGATGATAAAGATCCATTTTTTTTTCAATTGACAATAAAAAATACGTTAACGTATTTTGTAGATGATATTCTAGCAGATTTAGCCATACGTATTTTGCAGCCCGACAAAAACTGTAACTCCCTGTCGCAGTTCCTCCGGCCCATTAAATACAGCGTAACGTTACTCGTATCAATAAGGAGTACATGTGGATTTTTATTGTGTTTGAAATTTTATTGGCTTTACCAAATACCTATTCGATTAATATAATATAGGTGTATTGATAGCAAAAAATACAGTATAATATACTAAAGCCAAAGGGTGTTTACACGTATGATTTAAGGAAAGCGTTTGACACCACGATACCCTTTAAAAGAAACCGTGCAAGAATTATTTTAATAGTATGTATGACTAAGATGTGTGTGTTAATAGCTGATAAGTCTAACAAACCGTTAATGTTCATTGTGATACTAGTATTTGCATCAGGCGCTAAAAGTGGTGTACTAGTTGATATCTTTGATCTTGTAAAATACAGATTGAATGAAAAAGTAAATACAGTCAAAGAAAATTTTCGAGACACAATCAATAAAGGTCACAATTATCTCTACGGCTATAGACCACGAGGTGAGAAGAAAAGTATTAATATAATGGATCAAATATCTCTTAGAGTACACAATGTAAGTGAAGATTTTAAGAAAAATCTGCGTAACCCACTTCGAATTTTAGATAAAAACAGAGATTGGGATGGAATTTTTACCAATGTATCAATTGCTGCAAAAAGACGTCCTGGTAAGAAGGACGACAAGAATTTGATTGCTATCAATAATGATGATGATCTAATTCCAAACTGGTTTAATTATACATTAAACAAAAATCCCAATTTTAACCCAATGACTAATAGCAGTGTATTTAATGATTATCAAGATTATGAAGCAGCAGGCAGCGGTAACATAACAAAGGAAACATTTAAGAAAAAAAAGCTTAAAACACGCCGGAGTTTATATATTTCTTTGAAGTGACATTACATTTCGTAAGAATTAATAAAGGGGTTTTTAATCTAAGACTCATTTTATCCCTCCGTCTCTTATTATATTATAGTGTAAACAAGATAACATCGGGGTACCAGGGCTTTCCTGTTTAGGGTATACCTGGTACCCAGGCGGTTTTTAGTCGGTCCGAGTCGTACATAACCATCCCACTGGTGCGTGCTATCTGTGGGGAGTTTCGCACAGGAAAAAAAGGGTATTCAGGGCAACATTACATTTAAATTTTTGAGTGAATTTATTCTAAAGTTGTTTAGCTACAGTTTTTTACTTTAAATCTAACTCTTCTCTCTCTTTTAAATTTCTTTACAAATACGAGTAATTTATCGAATTGCATCGCAAAGGTATAAAACCTCTCTCTACTAGTAAATATTCATTTTTCTAATATTAGTTTATATTTCACGCACATCGGAAACATTTTAGTGACAATTGTGAACCGAAGTGCTTGTGATTGTAGACATACCAAATTGATGTTTCACAGATACACAAATATATAGTAAACTAGCTTTTGCCCGCGTCTCCACCCGCGTGTATATAGGTTATGGCGGTAAAATGTCCTGCGCCTCTGTCCTTCCTCAGGAATCAAACTATATCCATACCAAATTTCATGTAAATCGATTCAGTGGTTATTTATTCCCCATAAAAACTTCCAACCCCTTTTCTGATTTCAGGGATAAAAACTATCTTATATGCTTTCCCTTAATTCAAGCTATTTTTATACCAAGGTTCAGCGGTTTAAGCGTGAAGAGGTAACAGACAGACAGATAGATAGACACACTTTCACATTTATAATATTATTGTGGACTAGCTGAGACCCGCGGTGTTATCCGCGTTTGTTGTATAACGTTGTCTAAAAAAAGTAGCCTAAGTTACTCCTTATGTCATCAGCTATCTGCCAGTGAAAGCCCCGTCGAAATCGGTCCAGCCGTTCCAGAGATTACCCGGAGGTAATCTCTGGAACGGCTGGACCGATTTCGACGGGACTTTCAGGCATTTAGTAAAAAGCGGTTATTTTAATATTACAAACAGACACTCCAATTTTATTTATTTGTATAGATGGTATGGATTCTATGATATGATGTTGCTGTTTTTGTTCTTTAAAAAGAAATATAAACTTTACAAAACATTCAACGGATTCTTCGCAAATGTCATTGTTGTTTTTTATTCTCGACTTCTGGTGTTTAGCAGTGATTCGCGGAAAGAATTTGAGTGTTTATACAAGTCGGCGGCAAATTTAGAACAAAAATGTCATTGAAAACCTTTCTATGACCGCGATTCTAAAACACAATTGTCACTGGCATTTTAATTTAACATCGAATTGCATGATACAATATTGAATAGTGTATAGCCATTACAACAGTTCCCAGGCAAATGCATAGACGTATTAAAAATTATATTTCTTGGGAAAGTTCGCAAATCTGTTTTACGATATAAATTGGTACAAATATGTATATTAATAAACAATATAAGCCGTTTCAAGATATTCATTATACCTCATGGTTACGTTTGCTGGAAAGCTTTCGTCGTCTAGAAAAAGTGTGATCCGGATGTGTTCAAATTTCATATGAGTATACAAATAACTAAATAAAAATTGAAAAATAATAAATAAAACAATTACGAAATATGTGTTTATAGCTATTTCAAATAAATATGAAACAATATCTAGTGATTATAGTGTCAATGACATTAGCGTCGCGTGGACAATGTGATGAAATAAGTGATGATTTTCTGAAGGATACCAAGGGTTTGGCCCAACAATATGTTACCGATAACTATGATGACATATATATGATCCAAGAATTTTTTTATCCAAGGTTTGATTTAGACATAGACATACCTGGTGAACATTGGTCGGATAGGTGGTGGAGAAAAACGAAAAATGCTGTAAAATGGCCATTTAAAGTTTTGGCCAGGTGGTATCGCAAAGCGAAAAATTGGTGTAAAACAAAATGGTCACAGTGGTTCTAAAACTTATTTTCGCATTATAAATATATTGAAAGTGAGTGACAATGTAGCAATGAACGAACACAGTGATAGCGACTTAGAACTTACTGAAGATGTGAAACAAACCGATTACAAACACAAAACTACAGTGGACGTTTCTGCTGATGATAAAGAGGACAAGGAACCGAAGAT